TGTTTCAGAAATCAAATGAATTTGATGGAATCACCTTAATTTTACAGAAAATAGATCTCAATACATAAATTCATACCAATGCACACTGGAAATCATTTCGGATCTCTTATTTAGCCATTGTTTTATTGAAATTTTTTGGATTTTATTCCAAGGCTAATGGCATTTTCATAATGACAATATGGCGACAGAGGACAGCAGGCAAGAAAAACACCAAGCGCAATTTCTTAAAATGTCTAATGCTTACATTGCACACTGGGTCACGAATCCAACCTAGCGGAGCAAAATTAATAACTCCGAAACGAAACATTTCCGTGACTTGGTGTCTTGGGCAAAATTTCTCATCATAATAAGGACCATCTATTGACATAAACAAATAGTTCAAAACTCTTCCGCAAAGATGGTGCCACAATCTAACTTCTTTCTCTGACGTTTTGGAGACTTGATGTCCTGGGCAAAGTTGTTTATCTTGACAAAATGAACAGCTCTTTCAAAGACGTTAAATTTCCACAGTCTACTGGTTCCAAGTTATATGGAGTTAAAGAAAAAAATGTCGAAAATATGGTTTTTTCTTTCTGTTTCGGTTTTTTTTTGCTTACAACTATTTAATGTTATATTTTTCTCTTATGCAAATACATTAAATAAATAGCTTTTTTGAAGAAACATACTGTGCGATTTAAGTCTTTACATGACCGTGGGGATGCAAAGAGAAAGTCGACGAAGAGAATCTGTCAATGTTATTTAGGACCTAATGCAATGTTCAGCTTGAATTCATTTTTTTATTTGAGGGCAAATGTATATTACTATTCTACGGGTGCAACCAATGAATTTTACAAACATTTGGAAAAGTTTTGAATGGTACATTAACCTTTATGAAAAGTTATGCGTGATTTCAACCTTTTTGTCCTACACTCATAAAATAAATCACATAACCAGTGGAAAATATCCATGTAAATTTCACATAACTTTCATGTGATCCCATAATTGGAAATTGCACCACTAAATCACATGAATGTTATGTGTCCAATGAAATCTATATGATTTCTCATATAGAATTTCTAATGCTATGTGATATTCAGGTAAAAATCATTGTTTTTGTTTTTGGAAAGATACTATGTGCGTTCCTAATAGAAATTAAGTGAAAACTTTTTTCAGTGTAGGACTGTCACCATTCCATGCATTTCGACCAAGATTCGACAGTGTCACCCCATGTATATGCGAGCGAGAACGAAAGAATTATAGAGATTGCTGACGTTTTTCTTACGCACACTACGTCGCGTATACGTATACACGAAATGTTTTCATGCTCATGCTAACAATTTTGTTGATATTCTTTGCGCTCCGCTTGAAAGTACCGGAAAGTTTTGATTTTTTTCTATGCTGTAAAAATAAACCGCCTATTTATATTTCTGACAAGTTGCAACTGAATGCTTATAATTGTTTTAAAATAACCATTGCATGGCCAACTAGTTTTATTGCGCTTACTCATAAAGCAACAAAAGGATTTATTTTTGGGTTTTATAAAGGCAATTCATATTACTTTTTTTATACTTCAAAGCAATCATAAAAGCTTTCATAAGTGAAAATAGCATAAGCATCAGTTGGTTTTTTAATTAGCTTTATAGGGGTTTTGTAGCTAGCTATAAGAATGTTTCATGACTTGCTTTGTATATGACCGTCATAAAGCTGTAGGTAATGGTTGCAGCTGCAATAAAACCTTTATAAATTTTGAATAAAGCCAAGCAGCTCTAGAATTGTTACTTGGGGGTGGATTCTGTCCTGAGCGATATTTCACGTGCGGTTCGAGATTTTGCGAAGGCACGAGAGGGGGAAAAGAACATACTAGAAGTCTCTCTGATGTCAACGCAAATTTTGCTCCGCTCCGCGTGCGTCTGCGAGAATGCAAAATCACCCAATTACCCAAAAACTACAAACGTTAAATGACTTTTAGTCGCGATATTTTTCAGGCATAGAAAATGCACTCTCCGAATCTAGGAGGCGCATTCTATCCTTCAGTTTCAAAGTAGAATACGTGTTCCAATTATGGCTATACGTCTCTATTGTGGCGTTTTTCAATCATGGCATATGGGAATTCCATAGATCATATTTGTATAAAAAAAAACTCAAAAACGAAAAAGCAAACACATCGTTGATATGTTGTGTAAAATAGCCTAAATGTTCAAGGAAAAATATAAAAACATATTGCGCCCTCGACTGGGAAATGATGTGCGTTGAAATGGTTTTACAGTCTTAACAAAATCAAAATATTATTTTATTTTAGTTTTGTCAGACGTTTTGGCCCATTTGGGTCCATCTTCATGAACTCTAGAAGTATTTATTGACATTCTTAGACTTTCATACATTGACATATTGTATTAGCAGGCAGTCGATCAGGATGAAAATCTTTCACTTTATTCCCATCAGTTCAGGATAGATGATTGATATTGATGCCAGAGAGTAAAGTCCCAGTTAAATATAAAAATTATTTTGGTGCTTTTGAATCCTACGATTTCTGTTTTTAAACATATCAAGCTGAACATTGCATTAGGTCCTAAGTAACATTAATGGATTCTCTTCGTCGACTTTCTCTTTGGTTAATAACTTGAGCACATAACCGTTTCTTGTTGTGTTTGTCATATTGGATGCTAGATAAAAGCTTCTTTTATCGATTTGTGTGCTGAAAATACCTTGGAGAATCTGTCAATGTTACTTAAGACCTAATGCAATGTTCAGCTTGATATATCCAGAAACTGAAAACGTGTATATGTGAATAGTAACACCAACCGGTGGAAACTAACTATTTTAAATTGGCTCACTACTTGACTAGCCTATTGGTCCCAAATACATCTATAAGCGTACCCTATTCTAGTCGAATTTCTAGCATTAAACTATGTTTGTTTTGATTCGCTATGAAAGTTTGACAGATAAAATGAGGGGTTCGTGGATTTTCATATGTTTCGCGGAGTGCATCGATTAGCTTGGGACCGAAGAGAGTACCAGAGCAGAGCAAAAAAGTTTAGCACGTTTCTTTGGAACCTTCTGGTCTTAACAGTTACCTCTATGGTAACACATTGTGGATTGAGCTGTGATTTTTGAGTCTTGACAAATGAATGAATTGAAAAAAACATTGCGGTGTACTCCTGTCCTGCTGTCTTATCTCGTTAGTCTAGGTTAGCATCTTAGTAGCATTTAGTACGTCACGCGAAATCATGGAATTTTTTTCCTTGATTTGTTTTCCGTCGATCTTGTTTTCCGCGCTGAGCACCAATGCTATCGACGCCAGGGAGGCAGCTCCACCACCTGGACCCTACCTATCGACCCATACACTCATGAACCGGGGACCAACGGCTTTACTTCCCTTCCGAAGGAAGGCGTGATCAAAGATGTTATGCCTCAGAACATCCCGGCGGCGCCGACTGGGATTGAACCCAGGCCTGCTGGGGTGAGAGGTAATCTCGCTTACCACTACACCACTACACCACTCCTCCTCCTTGTCACAGATTTCTGAGCCCCTTCCCCTTAAAGCGTGACGTTCTTAATGGATCCCCCTAGTATGTCAGGGCTAGTTTTTTCTTAAATATTTTATTTATTTCAGTGGAATAATTACAGGAAAAGTGAAAATGTTCTCTTGAAAGTGTAATTACTTGACAGTTTGTCACTGAAGGTAAATAAGAGTTTTGAATTAGGCCGATGAAATGTTTTATTTTATTTCATACTAGCTGAGTGTGCCCGGTCTTGCTCGGGATTCAATATTAGCTTGAGTTTATGCGCCGATTTAAAAAAAAAGCATGCTATATTGTACGTAGCCCCCCCCCCCTATTATCTAAGGGGCTACCTCCTATGATTATCTCCTTATACCCCCAAACTCGCCCCCACATGCCTAATTTGGTTCCATTTGCTTGATTAGTTCTCGAGTTATGCAGAAATTTCTGTTTCATTTGTATGGGAGCCCCCCCTTACAGAAGGGGGAGGGGTCTCGAACCATCATAAGAACCTTCCACGGCCCCAAAAACCCCTGTATACAAATTTTCACGCCAATCGGTTCAGTAGTTTCCGAGTCTATAAGGGTCAGACAGACAGACAGACAGACAGAAATTCATTTTTATATATATAGAAGATAGAAGATAGAAGATAGAAGATTAAAAATTACAAAACATAGAAGGGACAAATTCAAATTCTGCCATCATCATTTGCTCTGCGCTTTATCTTTAAACTTAATTTTTATAATTAATTTATTAATTTATTATTAAATGAGTTGTTAATACATTTTTTCGTCCCTTGTTTGCGACACAATCAAACCCCCACCAACCCCATACCCCCGCCACCTATTTGAAAGAAAATAATATTTGCAGCATCCTTATCAGCAACCATGAATGCCGTGTGGGAACAGCAAATTTGTTTTGATTGAGAACTGTAATAGATACATTTATAGATCTTAAAATCGAAACATGAGTATTACCTATGTCGATACATTCGTTAAAAAAAAAAATCACATTTATCTTCATCGTCAGCTTTATGACAAATGATTCTTCCTTTAAGGCCTTTCCTTGATTACGAAGCCCACACGATTTGTCAGTCGATCTATTTTTGCCTGCGATGGAATAAAAGTTCACATTTTGTTTTCGGATCCAGTACAAATTTAAACTTACTATTTCGACAACTGTTTAACAATTTAAAATGAGTTTTTAATAAATTTTAAGTTATAAAACTCGTAGCCTTGTGTGTTTGTTGTTTCTTAATCGTACTGTTCAGTTGTAAATAGTGGCACGTGCAAAAGTTAGGCATTCTTCTCTGCAGTTATCTTTTCAGGTAGACTCGTTTAACTGGAAAATACATAAACAAATGGCATTATCATCATTGCCTTTCTAAACGTGCCTACCATTCCTGCATAGCATGGTTGTGATGATTGGCAGCATTTTGTCATATTAGCTCCGATGCTAGCAGCTGCCGACTTTAGTTTTGTTGCAAAGTTGTTTCAAAGACATTCATGCTGTACTTGTGAAATTCTGGGTAATGAACTAACGCAAAAGAGATGAGGTGTATGGTCGTGATTTTTATGCTAGCATCGTGCGCGATGGCTGCTTTCGGTATTTCGTTAAAGTAAATTTTGTGAAATAAATAATACTTAAGTGCTTTTGTAGATGATCTTCGGTTACCTGATTATCCAGTGCATTACAATGATTACAGCCGACAGTGTCATGTACCTGTGAAATGTTCTAGTGATCCTCGGTGTCCAAATATTAACGATTGGAAGGACTTAGAGCGTTGGGCGCAGCAGGAAGCATTCACAAAGTTTAAAAGGGATTCGAGCTTCGAGGATAATCCGTCTTCCTTGATCAGTGATAGTGAATATGATTTCAATTTGTTTTTCACCAAAGGACTGGATGATGATCAAGAGATTGGAGTTAAAAATACTTTGACAACCGATATCTTATTGCAATATCTAGCGATTAAAGGGAAATGCTCTGTGCGAAATATGCTAGAAAGGCACTGTCCAAACGTTAGCCAATCGCTGTCTCTGGAAAAATGCCAGCACAGAAAGCTGCACAAATGCGATCCAGACTATCCGTGAGTAGCTGTGGTAATCTCTTAGAATGGAGAATTATCATAGAATGGAAGGATTTTTTATTTTAAAATATAGTGCGTTTTCGTCAATAGAATGGAGTGGAATATTCAAACAAAGAGCGTCATTAATTTTCGGTGTATTTTTTTCAAAATTTTATTGGATTTATCTCTAAACTTATTAAGAGAGTTATAAGTAAATTATTAAATATGGACTAGTCAATGTTTTGAAACAGAAAAAAAACCTATGTTCTAAGGATTTTTTTTTTTAGTATATCCTAGAATTTATAAATTAATCTCTTTTACAGGTATCGATCTTACGATGGAGTGTGCAACAACCTGCGACATGCAACTTGGGGTCAAGCTGGCAATCCTCTCAAATTTGAACTGGCACCGTGCTTCGATGATTATGTTTCCAAGCGTCGCATGAGTGCGTCTGGACGAAGTCTGCCAAACAACAGAGAAGTTATTAGTGATATTCAACGCGTGACATTTGATGTACCCACCAATGTTCAACTTCGCCATGTATTTACCCTATTTGGCGTTTTATTTTCCGAACTTGTTAACACGGACATAATTGGCCGAGCAATGAAACGGGCCCGTAATGCTACCACAGGCTTCCGTGGATGCCGTCCTGATGGAAGTGGCGTATCTTTATACCGTGCACCCTTGACCGCACCTATGGATGTTTCCGCTCAAGATCCAAACTATGGTCCAATGCACGTAGAGTGCTTGAATTTTAGCCCGATTGAAAATGCCAATGATCAATGCGATATTAGGTATCCCACCAAGAGAAACATCGGCACTAGTTATCTAGATCTAGACGTAATGTATGCTCATGGAAATTATGATAGTGAAGGGAAAATAGTAGTATCCCATTGCAAAGCATCTTCTGCGTTTGATACGAATCATGTCCTTTCTATTCAGTTTTTAAGTGTAGCAGGGCTTTTCTCACAACTTCACAATTACTGTATTGACAGAGCTAGTTCATGTTGTGTAAATCAATCAAAAGAGATTATGATAGAAAAGTGCCGTGCATTGACGATCGGTGTATATCAACGTATCGTTTACGAAGAATTGCTGTTGAGCTTGTTCGGGGAAGAGTTCTACAAGCAATGCAATTTTGATTGTGAGTACGACGAGGATTTGGAATCTAGTGTATCTTCTACGTACACCAATTCAGCGGGTCGTTTTCAGCACATATGGATTCCAGATAACGTAACGGTTGTATCTGGTAACGACCGGGTTCAGAGACCTTTTTTTGAGTTTTTTCTCAACCTAGAATCGTTTGACTGCCCGAGCATCCTAGAAGGAATGCTGGAAGATCCGGTTCAAAGCTCCAGAATGTCGGATTCGGTATGGTAGTAGCATTTGTTATACCATTTGATTAGAACTAAACAATTTTTTGAACATTCTAGCTGATTAATACATTCTTTTCCAAAGACGGAAAAAAGGGGCATTGCTTGATGTGTCTTGATTTAGAAAGAGGTCGAGATGCGGGTTTATGTCCATTGGTTTTATACAAACATTATTTCGACAAGATATCAGGTAACCCAACGAAGTGTTATGAATCGTTTGATGATTTGAATGATATTTTCCAAAAAGAAGTAAGTATACAAACGTCTATCCATAGACATACTTAATACATTTTTATTTTCAATTTTAGCTGGTAGATGTGTTTAGGAATCACTACGAAAGTCCACATGATATAGATGCACTATTTTTAATCTTTGAAAAAGTACGAGACAAAGAGGTCAACATGCCAAGAACGATAGCTACAGCATACTGTGTTCTGTATAAACGGCTGAAATGTAGTGATCGGTTTTTCTACAGTTGGAATCAATTTTTATCACCTGGTATGTTGAATAAGCACAACACGATTTTTTTTCAATTAACACTATAAGACCTTAACGTTTTTAGCCCAGAAAGAATTGATTCACTCTATCGACATGTCAACCCTCTTGGCACTGTTTGGAGGAATAAAGAATGTACCTGTTGTTCCATGGCATTATCAATCGAAAAGAGTTCCTGCTCAGCAGCTTCTGGAAAAAATTGAAAACAAACTTCATTTATTCTGTAGTCTCTGAATTGAATCACAGCTTATTCTAAAAATAAACTGTTCGTCTGACATTACGATCATACCGTATTTTTTTTTTAGAAATACACCTTATTTTCATGAATTGTGTGACATAATAAACGTCTTTCTCTTTAGTTTGAGCTAAGAGTTATTAACTTATATTTGCAATTAACTTCTTTGTTTTCCTTTGTTATTACGCTCTGGAACAAGAACTTTACGCATAATGTTTATTTTTGCTGCGTGTTTTTCTTCCGCGGATCTGTTTTTTTTTGCATTAAACATCATTGGCTTGTGCTGTAATTTAGTTTTAAGTGTTCATGAAATTGTGCTATAGTTGAGAGTGCTGATTCAACCAGCGAGCGAAGCGGATGTGTTTTGTTTCTTTTGTGCTTTTTTGCAAAGCGTTTCGTTCTCGAGTTACTGAAGTTTTTCGGCTGTGTTATTGTGGGTGGACTGATGATCGTATTTTATAAGTTTTAATTCCCGTGCGCGATAATTTGATTTGATTGAATAGGATTTTGCAAATGACACTTTCTTGTGTTGCTGATGCAATTGTGCTTGGTGTGCTCTCGTGTTTTTCTTTGTTGCCCGCTATGACCTCTAGCGCGCTGATCTATTTTTCAGTTGCTGCGATGAGCAACGTCTTTGTGTAGTGTTAAAAAAGAAAGTCCGAAAACACATGACCTTGATTATGCATGGAGTGCGTTCTTTTGTGGATACGAGCTAGAAGAGCGTTATCAGTGATTGCGGTGGTTCAAGGAACATTAAATAAAGCATTTCCGAAAACATGACGCTGCAAAGTCACTAGGCCAATCGGGTGAGATCTTTTCATTGTATCTAAAGGGTGATACGGTCAAAATTTGGTCAAGGGAAAACGCGTGTAAATCGGTGAAATCGTTTATTTAAAAAATCAAATTAAATTTCTTTTTCAAGTTCAATTAGTATAAAATTCAGGAAAAATATTCAGTTAGGCTTCCGCTTTTCCAAATCCGAATTGCCGGGCCTTACGCTTGACCCCTGCCATCAGATTTTGTACAGCCACCTTGTCCACCTTCTTCGCCGCAGAAAGCCAGTTTGCCTTGAACTGCTGCTCGCCCTTAGCAGTTTTTTTGGTCTTCTTTAGGTTCCGCTTGACAATAGCCCAGTATTTCTCAATTGGGCGGAGCTCTGGCGTGTTGGGAGGGTTCTTGTCCTTGGGAACCACCTGCACGTTGTTGGCGGCGTACCACTCCATGGCCTTTTTACCGTAATGGCAAGATGCCAAATCCGGCCAAAACAGTACGGAACAACCGTGTTTCTTCAGGAAAGGCAGCAGACGTTTATTCAAACACTCTTTCACGTTAATTTCTTGGTTGACAGTCCCGGAAGCTATGAAAATGCTGCTTTTCAAGCCACAGGTACAGATGGCTTGCCAAACCAGATATTTCTTTGCGAACTTTGACAGTTTCATGTGCTTGAAAACATCTGCTACCTTTCCCCTTCCTTTTGCCGTATAAAACTCCTGTCCCGGAAGCTGCTTGTAGTCGGCTTTGACGTAGGTTTCGTCGTCCATTACCACGCAGTCAAACTTCGTCAGCATCGTCGTGTACAGCCTCCGGGATCGCGCTTTGGCCGTCGTATTTTGTTTATCATCGCGATTTGGAGTCACTACCTTCTTGTAAGTCGATAGTCCAGCTCGTTTTTTGGCTCGATGCACGGTTGTAGACGATACACCCAGCTTATTTGCGGCATCTCGGAGAGAGAGGTTAGGGTTTCGCTTGAAACTACCGGCAACTCTCTTTGTCGTCTCAGCGGCTTCCGGTTTTCGATTTCCCCCCGATCCAGACTTCCTGGCTGTCGACAAACGTTCCCCAAACACTTTAATTACATTTGTAACGGTTGATTTGGCAACTTTTAGCGATTTTGCCAACTTTGCGTGCGAGTAGCTCGGATTTTCGCGATGCGCGAGCAAAATTTTGATACGCTGCACTTCTTGCTTGGACGGCATTTTGACAACTGAAGAGTGAATTCCAAAATCAAAATAAGAGCAACATTCTACACACACACACCTTCAAAATGAGGGGTGTTCAGGTTTTTTAAATGCAAAATTGAAAGAAATACGTCAAGTTGATATTGACCAAATTTTTACCGTATCACCCTTTATTTATATTCCATTTGTGTCACTCATTTATAAAATGCTCTATATTGACGAATAGAGTTTCCAAATCATTCACCCTTCCACTAACACAACTCTTTCCGTCGTGTGACACCTATGAAGGTAGTATGGGTTCCCTGCACCTCCTTAAGTAGATGTTGAATTATCTTTCCCTCCCGTCCCCTGCGATTGTAAGGATGTGGCCAGGTGTATAAAGTAATGCTTGTTTTGTAGATTTTATGTTTATGTGGGGAAAATCACAAATCCCAAGTGATATTTTCTGCGTCAACACACGATATTTTCTGCAAAACGTTTTAGTTGACCATTATATAGCCATCCACGGTTTGTACAATTGCACATTGATATTAAAATCGTTTATTGTAGAGGAAAATTCCTGCACCACGAAGTAGACAATCTTCGGTTTTCACACTTTACTCATGTTCATACCAACTCCAGGGCTGAATTTGAGGGTGGTCAATGGAGGAAATTGGCCCGAGCCTCACAACTAGGGGCCCCTGGCCATGTAAGCTGAGGAAATATTTATTGAATTTTTAATTTATGATATTTTTCTAAAAAAGGAATTTATTTTCATTACGTTCAATCCTAAAGTTTAGTTCTAAACTTCTGATTTAACATTCAAAGTGTTTTTATGTTACTTCATTTGCAAAGTTTGCGATTTTTAGAGTTGGTTGGAAATGTTCTCTAACATGAAGCTTAGTGTGATAATTTATTAGCTAGAGAAAGGTCTGAAGAGGGTAGGTTGGTAGTTCCGCTAGATTACGGCATTATGAAAATTGAATAGAAGAAGAAAATGAGCGAAGGGCCATTAATGCGACAGTACAAGTCAACCGGACACTCCTCCACTGTAACTCATACATTAATGGATGAGGAGACTTAAAGTATTTCTTCAATTCTACAGGCAAGAAAGTGTTATACGTTGGTCTGACAATATATTAGAGCTTGATGGTCACCAATTTTTGAGATAATGTAAACGGTCTTTCAGCAAACTAGCTTTGATTAATTTCAAATAAAGGCCATTGAGAACATCGATAACTGATTAATGGCTGAGTTCTTTTTGTTTGATGAGCATCCAAAGTAATGTTCTTAAGAAGATTGAATTTGAAGAATTGAGGTCTACATTGAAGCTAAATATAGGCATCAATGATTCATGGATGTTCACAATTATTTTTACTGATTTGCACTGTGTTTAGGTTACATTGAAACAGAGAGAAGAAACGAAATTCTAAATTGAATACCGTAATTCGGGGGCAAATTGATCACACCATAAAATGAACTCTGACATTAGAGAAAATTGATAAACTCACTGTATTAAAATCAAAAGGCTATGATGATGCTATCGTTCCGCATGATGACATATGATATTGAGTGATTTATTTAGTTTTTGCCATTTTAAAACCCCTCAAATGGTTTTGGAATAACTTTACTACGATATATTCTCGTTTAAGGGGGGAAATACAAGTAAACATTTTTTTATCGATTTTTTTTTATATTTTACTTTAAAAAACTGCTTTTTCTTTGAAGTTTTTTTATGCAAAATATCTAAGCGATCAGACAAGTAGTTACCGAGATATCGATATTTATGTAACAGCGCTCTGAGCGCCGATTCCGCCTAGCGGAAAACTTTAAACGCGTTTTTCTCGAAACGGTGTTTTCCAAATTGGCGGGAAAGATAACTCAAAAAGTTCTCATCCAAATGACTTGAAACCTAGCGAATAGATTTTTACTCTATGTGAACCACTGATATCATGAAAAGATTAACAATAAATAATTTTCAGGTCTGCCTAAAGTGGAAAAAAAACAGTGAAAAATCAAGTTTTTTTTCAGATATTTTTTTTCTAAATTTTTAAATCGTTTTACCCTTTTTACAAAGAAGGGTACAGATATCACTTGAAAAACCGACTATCGATCCGAGGCCCGGAGGGCCGAGTGTCATATACCATTCGACTCAGCTCGACGAGATCGGAACATGTCTGTGTGTGTGTGTGTGTACGTGTGTATGTGTGTATGTGTGTGTGTATGTAACGAAATGAATGCGCTTACGTTTTTCAGCAACCGCTCAACCGATTTGGACAAACTTGGCGCCAAATGATAGGTCTTGGGGTCCCATTGAACGCTATTGAACGGTTTTGGAATCGGTGAACCGGTTCCGGAGATATGGCCGGAATAAGATCGGGTGAATATGGGCCTTCACGCTGGATTTAACGGAAAACGTATCAAAACCATCATGCGACACATCAAATTACTACAGAATTCAAAAATAAGATCAATGCAAGTCGTGTTAAGTGTTCCAGACCACATTGGATACACTTGGACATGTTCCGGGTACCCCGGGGAAGTTGCTTGAATATGAATTGAATTAAAACCCATTAAATCACATTAAAATACGATGATAAGGTGATTGGTAGCCTCACCAAATAGACTACACCCGGATATATTCCGGGTACCCCCAGGCAGTGGCGTAGCGTCACTGGATGACACGGGGGTGGGGGGCTTGGTCACTGATAATGACAATAAAATAAATAAACTTGAATAAGTAAGTCTGATCACACCATAGGTGGATAAATTCGGGTTTTTTTTGGTTTTAGAGGTTTAGATAGGACAAAAATCTTTTCTGAATAAGGTCCAATTAATAAAAGTAAGTTTTGTCCATTTTTCAGGTCTCTAGAACGCCCGTCAATTACCAATCCCCACCGGAGGCGACCTCCTTCCGATGTGACCCCAAGGAGCCACAGAGGTCACACACCAATGAAAATAATCTCAAATGTACAGGAAGATTTAAGCAATTTAATGCAAACAACCCCAAACGTTTGCATTGTTTCATTTGCTCACAAAAAAAATTCCGAAAATCGTCGAGT